CACTTTAATGAGTTCCATTCACTTTAGGGGAAGGCTATTTAAGTACTATTTCTTCTGACCTATACTTGCACTCTGCTTGCTTAGTAGAAAGGATGTAGGAAGGTGGGTCTATCCCTCCAGCAGGGGGTGGCAGGGACACACACACACACACGGAGCAGGGGCCATCCCCTCCAGCAGGGGGCAGCAGGGACACACAGCCACACACAGAGCAGGGCCTGTTCCCTCCAGCAGGGGGCGGCAGGGACACACACACACACACACACAGGGCAGGGCCCATCGCCTCCAGCAGGAGGCAGCAAGTATACACACACACCCCTGATCCCGACTCCCCACAGCTGTGGATGGGCTCATCACAGGGAAATGTGGCAGACAACAGGGGAGTGACCCAGGCACCTTGGCAGTAGTTCAGGAAGCACGGACGGTCTTGCTCAAGGAGTTGATTGACCTGTGCTGTCTGTGGGGGCACCATTCGGGGGTTTGGTGAGGCCTCCTCCCCCCGAGTTTCGTACCTGAGGTCTGCTCACAGCACATGCCCTAGCCCCAGATGGGTTTGAGTGTGGAATGTGCTGTTGCCTGATTTAGGAGGTTAATAATATTAATTGTGGGTTTGAGACTCACCAATCTGTTTGATCAGAAGATAAAAGTTCATGTCTCAAATTAGGCTCCCAAGAATTTCCAAAGGCCCCTCGGGGGGATGCCAGGAAGCTTCCACTGAGACAGAGCCTTCCAGACTTTTTATTAACATCAACGAATTAGTAGTTAAATGGGAAAATAATCAGAGTTACACAATACCCGTTGGATTCCTGCTATTCAAAATACATGATGATGGTATTAGACGCTACAAAGCTCTGGCTAATAGACTCACACCCTTCCCTGATAGCCCGGTGGGGAGAGACAGGACCAGCCTCGCATCTGGCGGTTCAGCGTCCTCGATTCTTGAGTGAGAGGGACAGAGAGGAGCTGGAGCTAAGAGCGATCGGAGCAAACTTCGAGTTTACTTAACTCCCTTCAACTTAAAATCAAAACCTAATACACAAAACTAAGGAGAAACACTCAGGGAACCCAAGCTTAGCCTCGTCCCCTTGGCACGTAGAAAGGTGAAGAAAAACAAAGTACCGCCTATTAGTCGTCTGGTCTAGTCTCTTAGCGCGGTGGGTCACCACGTTTATAAGGCACAGGGGCCGGAAATCCTTCCTCCTCTGCCCAAACCTCATCCCTCACCCACAAAAACAGTAGGGTCGGCTTACTCCATAGGCTGGTGTGTTTGTACCTATTGGTGACGTGTACAGACATATTAATGACATTCGATCATACACACTGGGACGGGTTGGATCACAGAAACCCTCTTGGGAGCTGCCAACGGATGTGCCCGGACTACTTCTGCCCCTGCTTTCCTGCCAGCTCGGGACTTCAGTACCCTGCCCGGTTTGAGCCAGACCCGCTAGCCTGCCGCAAACCCAGACCCAGGTCTGAACCAGGTCCCCTAACAACTGTAGGCTTAATTGAAAGCAGCTCACAGAAGTGTTCCTGTCTTTAACACTCAGACACCCAACTCTCAATGGGGTCCAAACCCCAAATAAATCCATTTTACCCTGTATAAAGCTTATGCAGGGTAAACTTCTAAATTGTTCACCCTCTATACCACTGATAGAGAGATATGCCCAGCTGTTTGCCCCTCCAGGTATTAACACATCCTCTGAGTTAATAAGTAAAAAGTGATTTTGTTAAATACAGAAAGTAGGATTTAAGTGGTTCCAAGTAATAGCAGGCAGAACAAAGTGAATTACCAAGCAAAATAAAACAAAACACGCACATCTACGTCTAATCAAACTGAATACAGATAATCTCACCCTCAGAGATGCTTCAGTAAGTTTTTTCCTCAGACTGGACACCTTCCTAGTCTGGGCACAATCCTTTCCCCTGGTACAGCCCTTGTTCCAGCTCAGGTGGTAGCTAGGGGATTTCTCATGATGGCTCCTCTCTCCCCCTTTGTTCTGTTCCACCCCTTTATATATCTTTTGCATAAGGCGGGAACCTTTGTCCCTCTGGGTTCTCACCCCCCTTCTCACTGGAAAAGCACCGGGTTAAAGATGGATTCCAGTTCAGGTGACATGATCACATGTCACTGCAATCTTCATTGCCCACTTGCCAGCACACACATATACAGGAAGACTTATAGGTAAACACAGCCATCTGCAGACAATGGTCCTGGTTAATGGGAGTCCTCAAAATTCCAAACCACCATTAATGGCCCCCACTTTGCATAATTACAATAGGTCCTCAGAGTTATATTTCATACTTCTAGTCCCAGATACAAGAGTGGTACATTTATACAAATAGGATGATCACACTCAGTAGATTATAAGCTTTGTAATGATACCTTACAAGAGACCTTTTGCATGAAGCATATTCCAGTTACATCATATTCACCCATTAGCATATTTTTATAAAATCATACGGAGTGCAATGTCACACACACACATCTGTTATTTTGGTTTTCCGGTTCTTCCCTGGTGGTACCTGTTAAGTTTGTGGGTGTAGATTTGGAACCCCCCTATGCCATTCTCCCGTTATCTATCTCTCTAGGTGGAAGGTCCCAGACATAGATGCGCTAAATTTGTCTTACCTCAACATCCCGGATCTGGCCTGTAGGTCCCTTGCATTACAGCCAAACTTACTGTAAGTGTTTGGTTTATTGTAATAGGTTTATCGATTTATATTAAACTATAAGAGATATCTGTGCAAGCAAACAGGGTAATCCTATAGGCTACAGTGATACGTCCTGTGTTGCTGCCAGCTTCTGCCCCCAAGGGGCAGAGAGTTTGTTTATAACCAGAGGCAGGGTGATTAAGATCACAAGGCTTGTCATTAAATTAAATTAAGGATCGTTAGATGATCCTGAAGGCTCTGCCAGGCACTCCAGTTAAAATATAGGAAACAGGGTAGGAATAAACGGTTGGTTTTCAGACTGGAGAGAGGTAAATCGTAGTGTCCCCCGGGGGTCGGTACTGGGACCAGTTGTGTTCAACATACTCGTAAATGATCTGGAAAAAGGGGTAAACAGTGAGGTGGCAACATCTGCAGATGATACAAAACTGCTCAGGATAGTGAAGTCCCAGGCATACTGGGATGAGTTACAAAGGGTGACCCTATGGACAACCAGAGAGCTGGGGGGCTGGGCCTCCTCTGACCCCCATCCCTTGGTGCCTCTTTGGAGCCCCTGTACCCCCTCCCACACTCTGAACTGGGTTACCCCCTCCCCACGCGGGTTTCTATCCGGGCTCATATGTCACCTTCCCTGACACAAACCAGACCATTATCTCCACAAAGGTCCAGTTGAAGAAATGCTCTTGCCAAGTGAAGTCTCCCCAAAAGGTTCATGAGTAAGTGGCTCCCTTCAGACTCAAGGCACCCACTCTGACTAACGCTGGTCAGCTGCTCGCCTCCCTGCCTTATATCCAGATGTTTACCCTATTCTGATTGGTTCTTTCTTCAATCCTCATCATTAACATACTGATCCACCAGTCATCTTAAGCCTTCCCTGATTGGTCTGTTCTTAGGAACCAATCCTAGCTTTTAAACTCACCTGTCAATCGAAGCTGGACCTGATTGAAGACTTGGGAGGGGGTCAGTTGAGCATGACCGTTCGAGTTTTGGAGTGACCCTTCTCTCACCTCACCCGCCTATTTGCAATTGGCCGAATCGCTCCAAGACCATCGTTTTCGTTTCCCGGCGACTGCCATCTTGTTACCCCCGGCTGTAAACTGCTAAAAACGGCCTTTCTGAACGATTCAACTACGGACAATGATTTACGCCTCTTAACGTTATGATTCCCTGTCTCACCACTCCCGGGTTTATTCGTTTAAATACGTTTAATTCCGATCTCCCTCTTGCTTCAGCTTCAGTGATGCTCTTCCAGCTGCGTTCCTGACGCAGAACGGAGCTGCCAAACCGTCGCTCATATCAGTGACGGGCGGCCGTTTCAAATGGTCCCTCCATTCAAAGTCCAGAGATCAACCCATCGTGTTTAGTCACAAAAACGCCCGCCCCGGCGAGGTAGAAGGAAGAATAAACCCCTTCTCTACACTCTCACCAAGGTATTCCTCATGTGTCCCAAGAGGGAGGAGATACGGCTATAGGGAACATGGGTCCCGGGCGCTACAGGTTGATGGATCAATCACAACCGGCTGCAAGACCTCTATTTCCTTTTGTCAGACATCAGCACAGTCTCGGTATTTCTCCAGAACACCCAGCGTGGATGGAGGGGTGCGGGACAGGGTGGTATCTACCTTTGAAGTCAGCCGCCAGGCCTGGTCCCCCTTGGATGCATGGGCCTGGCCGACCCACCAAGGAACGCCGAGGATGACGGGGAATTGGCGGGGTGCAGATTAGTCCAAATAGCGATGCCTCCCGGGGGCCCTGGAGCAGGGTCACAGCCACAGGGGGTGGCATTTGAATGGTAACTGGGTCTGGGGAAAGGGATTCCACCGAGGCGGGGATGCGCTTATGCGGAGTGGGAACATTACGGGGTCCAAGCAACGTCGAGGTCCAGGAAGTTCTCAGAGGCCCCTGAGTCCACCAGCTCCACTTTGGGCACGGTGGGAAGTGGTAAGCAAAGAGGAAGCGGGCGGCTCACGGCCCGACCTTGGCTGGGGTACGGGTCGGCCCAAGGGGGTTCCCAACCGGGGCAGGACACGGGTCTTAATGGACGTCGTGAGCATCTCCCCAATATAGGCAGACGTTGAAGACTCATTGCCAGCTCTTTTCTGCATCTCTACGGCCGGGTTGACTTCGGTGCGGGTCAAACACTGGCCTGCCTTTCTGGTTGGCGGTGGGCCAGGCGATCGTCGATGCTGAGGCCTGGCTGGACCAGGGCGTCTAGGGCGGAGAGTGGCTCTACCCGGGCCAGGCCAGCCTTCATTTCTTCCTTCAAGCCCTGCCTGCAATGGTGGCGCCGGGCCACCTCATTCCATCCAGCGTTCGCTGCTAAGCTCCTTACCGGCAGCGCCCCAGATGCAGCCGCAGCGCGCCCTGCATGTGCATGCCCAGGTAGCGGGTGAACTCGTCGGGCATGGCGTGAGCACCTGGCTTGGGGGGCTGGTTGTCATAGTAGTGGTGGAGAAGGGGCCGCCCCTCGGGGTCGGTGGGGAAGGGCCAGAAGCCGTAGAGGGTGAGGTGCTGGCACAGCTCCAGGGCAGCGCTCACCAGCATGAAGCCCGAGGAGAGGCGTTTGGCGCGCAGGCCACGGGGACGCCAGTGCCCGTCCAGCCGTGCCAGGTACTCGGGGTTCATGAAGACGGCGCGGGCTGGGGAGCCGAAGTCCTCCAGGGTGTAGAGTGCCTGGAACGAGACTGTGCTCTGGCCGACGTAGCTGAAGGCCGGGATGAGGAGCAGCGGGGCCCCATAGGCACCCACCACCTCCGCGAAAGGTCGGCGCCAGCGGCTCAGACCCCTGAACCTGCGGGCAGGGAATGACGCCCGTCAGACGTTGTCCTGGCACAGCCCGTCCCCCAGCACCAGTCCAGTTCCCTCCCACGGCCGTCCCATCGCTCAGTCTCCTCTGCCCCGATCCCTCGGTGACCCTATGGCCGACTGGAGAGCTGGGGGGCTGGGACTTCTCTGACCCCCGATCCCCCGGTGACCCTATGGCCGACTGGAGAGCTGGGGGGCTGGGCCTCCTCTGACCCCAATCCCCCAGTGACCCTATGGCTGACTGGAGAGCTGGGGGGGCTGGGCCTCCTCTGACCCCAATCCTCCAGTGACCCTATGGCCGACTGGAGAGCTGGGGGCTGGGACTGGGCCTTGGCCTTCTCTGACCCCCGATCCCCCGGTGACCCTATGGCCGACTGGAGAGCTGGGGGCTGGGTCTCCTCTGCCCTGATCCCCCAGTGACCCTATGGCCGACCGGAGAGCTGGGGGGCTGGGGCTGGGACTTCTCTGACCCTGATCCCCCAGTGACCCTATGGCTGACTGGAGAGCCCCTGTACCCCCCTCCCACACTGTGAACTGGGTTACCCCCTCCCCCCGGGGGTGTCTATCCGGGCTCGCTCCTCCATCCCCCCAGTTCTGATCCCGGCTCCCCCATGGGCCCCAATACGACCCGTCCCTCCCCCTGCTGGTCTCAATCCAGCTTCCCCCCCACCAGTTCTGATCCAATCCACCCCCCCCCCACATGTTCCCATCAGGGCGCCCCTCCCCCAACAGTCCATCTCCCCGGTACCGGGCGTGCAGGATGCTGGGGTTCATGGTGACGACGCTCGATTTGGTGCCCACGTCGTCAGCATTGTCCATGGGGGGCAGGTTGAACCTGGAGGGGGAGGTGGTGTGAGCTGGGGGCAGCCGGGGGAGCCCAGTGCCCCCCACCCCATGGGGGTCCCAGGTCTTTACCGCCCTCCATGGGCGTCGGGTATCATAGGCAGGGGTAGGCGGTGCCTCCGAAACAGCCTCGCCTGGCCCCGCCCACATTCTGCCCCAGGCCACGCCCCCTTCCTGCGTTCCCAGAGCTCTGCCTTAGCCAGGGGCCAGGGTGGGGGTGCTCTGGGCTCCTGCGGGGGAGGGGAGCAGAAGGGGAGGGCAGAT